GACGTGTCAGTCCAGGCTTTCAGTCTTCGTACCAGAACTCCCTTGATCTCATACACCCTTCTGCTAGGGTAACAGGGCACCGCAACCCTCCCCAGTACCGACCAAACTCGTTCTGACGGTCAGGAAGTGCCTTCCTCCCTCAACAGTTCCTGTAGTGGCAAGCCCCTAACAGGTTACAGGGTCAAATACCCCGGCGCCACCTCGTTGGACGGTCTGGTTATGCACTCAGCATAACTTCGCAGGCCTCAAGCTACCCCCCAGGTCACAGAGCACAAGCTCCAGCACCGGCCTGAGTCGTCCCAGCACCGTCCTTCTAACCTACTTACCCTGACCGACGACCCTCCTCTGTTGAAAACCCCTTTCTGCCTTCCATCCCCAATCCCAGCTTCTCTCCCCTAATTTTGGAAAATGGTAATCAAAAACGAATTCCAAGGGAGGATACTAATGTTAGAAATCAGATTAAATCAGCCAGATCTTGGAATACTTCAAAATTTTTACAATAGGAGCCCCAGTTCTAGAAATCAAAGATCAAGAACAGAATTAAGAATCTTATATGAAACGTGTTTTTGAGTATTGAGTTTGCGAATGAGTTTAAGAATCATCTAAGATGTCCAGAATTGGACTCATGAATATCAAGCAAGAGAGTAATTCTGACAGTGAAACTACTTTTTAGGTGTTGAGTTTTAAGAATGAGCTCCTATAATGCATCTGACTGGACTTCTTGCCAGGCCTACGAGTGAAAACAAGACGACAAGGGCTGGATTTTCAAGTTGTTCCAGCTGCTTGCAGCAGGTCCAGCAGAAGGGGCGGTACCGGTCCCAGCCAACAAATTTGCCGTGCTGGTTCCCGCCCCCTCCAGGCTCGGCAAAAATTGGCGCGCAGAGCATTTTTAGGCTCGGCATCAATAGCTGACAAAGGTACTGGTGGCATAACCAACATTTAAAAGAAAAAAAAACAAAGCACCTAGATACCATGATTTTTCCTTAGGGCCCCCCAAAAAACATTATGGTTACTGCATTAGCCCCCCCATGCAACACGATCTATTCTCCTAAGAAAAAAATCAAATGACCTCATCAGAAGCTCTGCCCCTCCTTCCCCCCAGATGCTATGATTTTTCCTTAGGCTCCCCCCAAAAAAGTTCCGGTCACTGGATTAGCAACTCCTGCCTCGCCTAGAAGCCGAACACCCTCTAACCCCACTCCCACCCCACGCCACCCAACTAACTCCCTGCATCCCAAAAGTAAATAAAGACTCGCATACCAAAGTTTTGTCCTTAGGTTCCCAGATAAGCGCCCCCCTAGATACCACGACTTTTCCGTATGACCACCCCCGCAAAGTTTCGGTTACCCGACTAGCAGCCCCCATGGATACCATGTCTTTTCCATAAACTAACAGGGAACTTTTTCCGTTACTGCATTAGCAGCCCCCTCAGATCCCATGTTGGTTTCCCACCCCCTGACCCTACTAACACCCTGCATCCCACATGTTTTTGTTTTTTTTGCCACCCCCTCACGGATACCATTTGTTTTCCTTGCAGTACCGAAAAACAGTTCCGGTTATCGAATTAGCACCCCCCTTAGATTCCATGTTTCGTTTTTCCCAACCCCACTAGCATCCCACATCCCGTGTTTCTTTTTCTTCTTGCATAACCATTGAAAAAACAGAAAAGAAACATGAACTTATGTACTGTCGGTTTTCCATGGACTATCCAAAATAAATTCCGGTTACACCATTAACACCCCCCCAGATACCATGTTGTTTTTGTTGGACACCCATAAAATCCGAATTCCCTGCATACCAGGATTCTTCCTAAGACCCCCCCCAAAAAAGAGTTTGGGTTATCTCATTAGCATGCCCCTTCCTAGGCACGATGTCTTTTCCCTTAGGCTCCCCCCCCCAAAAGTTCCGGTTACCGGATTAGCGACCTCCACCCTCCCAGGACCTGACCGCTGTCTAAGCAACCCCACCGCCATTGCACCCCACTACCCTGCATCCTATGTGTTTTTCTTTTTGCTCACATTAACCGAAGAGGAAAAAAAGAAAAAGGGGAAGCTACACAGGAGTCACAACAATGAGTTATAAGTGCACTACGGGCCAAGATACAGTTTGGAATTTCAGTTCGGGCAATGCATGCAATGTAGCTTTCTGGCCAGGTAGGGTACCCGAAGTGCAATTTCAAACTGTATCTTGCCCCGTAGTGCAGTTATAACTCGTTTTTGTGACTCTACTGAAGTTACCCCCCCCCGAAAAAGGATGTACACACCATGTGTTGTCCTCAGGTTTCCGGATGAGCACTCCCCCTTAGGCTCCCCCACAAAATGTCCTGGTTACCGGACTAGCACCGCCCATAGACACCGTCTTCTTTCCTTACACTAGCGGAAAACATTTCCGGTTAACGCACTAGCACTCCCTTTAGGTACCATGTTGGTAAATGTAGCTCAGTGGTTAGAGCACCGGTTCGAAATGCGCATGGTGGTACGAGGTTGAGGGTTCAAAACTCGATTGCAGCCTTGCGCATGGACACCGGCAGGGCGACGCACGGCTGGACACACACTCCCCTGGTCTGATGCATGGTACTCTTACAGACACTGCCTGCACACCACCCAGGGTGTTGTATGCTGGTCTAGACTTCACGTTGGTTGCTTGCTGTTGTTGGCTTTGGTTGCCCTGATGATCTGTAGCCTAGATATTTCACACAGTATATCCACTTCCTACAATAGTGCATGTGGTAGAACCCTCCAGTCTCATACTGTAGGTCACAGGTTCGAGACCGGCTCCGGAGGTTGGGGGGGTCCTGTCCAGATAGGCCTGTATCTACCACCTATTACACGCACACACATATGAGCACTACCCCGGATACTGACTACAGGTGCAACCACGATAGTCAGTCTATCGCATACCATACACACACAGACTAAGGCACATGGGAGGGACAAGGCTGGGGGCTAGTGGAAGGACAGATGATAGCCCACCACCTACTGAGTCTGTAGTCTGTCCCTTCCGATCCCTATAGGAAGTACTTAGCCGATGACCGGAATCTGCTGATAGGTGGGAGACATTCTATAATGAGGATAGATCAAGTGCCATGGATCCTTTGGGGGGAAGTAGACATGGGGTCCTTTGGAGGGGGGAGGTGCCCCAGCTGATGACCGGGGTGTGGAGGAGGAGCGTCTGTTCGTTGGCAACAGATTAAGGGCGCATAGGGTCGCGCCTCCACTGCGTCGAGGCAAGGTGCTTCTAGGGGGGCCATGTATACATACTATGCTCCATGGTGGGGAGCAGCATCTGCTACTTGTCCAAACATATTACAAAAAACATACACATAGCCTACAGGCGTCAGGAGGATAGCTGGTGGATGGAAGAGGCTAGGGGAGGGAGGGAGAACCCACTGGTGCCCCCCGGTGGCCCCCCCTCCAATACCCGACCCTGCTGCAGGGTAGGTAGGGAAGAGTAGAGTGGATATGGGACGCTGGACCCTAGCACTCTGGCGTCACTCTCATTATGGCACTGTGCAGCAAGATGTATTTGCGACGCTGAACCCGGTTTCCAGCAGGTGACACTCCCCACCAATAGATGGAGGGCCCGCTAGGCAAAGCCTCAATCCCAGTGGTTCTCTTACCACCACCAGGATAGTGGTCTTGCACAAAGGGCCTTAGAAAAAAAAAAAAAAAAAAAAAGCCTACGGGCACATACCTACAACACAGAACACACACACACACACATAACCATAGGGCTGGGAGGAGGTCACGACCAACTGATGATGATGATAGGCGTCTCGATGATAAGTACCCCCTTTTAAATCAGCTAGACCGTGTGTGGCAGACTAGGACTGTGGTGGGCGAGTAGAGGGCGTGAGTCACTGGCTGGTCAACTTAGGGGCTAGTAGGAGATTGCTTGAGCTTGGCGTCTGAAGTTCCCGTGCGACAAGGCTCATTCGATTCCTCTTCCAGCAGGGCTGGGTCATGGCTAGCCCTGGTGCCTGTCAGTACTGTTCGGTCCAAGTTCCCCTCGATACTAAGTAGCGATAATGGTCCTGAGTGCTGGTCACACTAAGGTAGGATAGTAGAGATAGGGGGTATGCTATGTGTATTGACTTAAGGATGCAACGGGAGGTAGCCTCGTTCGTTCAGGACAACCATGGCTGACTGCTTCAGGCGATCAATGTGTGCCTACTAACCAGCCTCTACAACAACCTGGGCTTTTCATTAAAAAAAAAAAAAAAAAAAAGTTGGTATCCCACCAACCAACCCCACTAACACCTCGCATCCCACGTTTTTTTTTCCTCGCATCAACCATGATGCCGAAAAAGACAAAAACAAGGATTTCGATACCGTATTATTTGCGTGGACTTCCCAAAAACACTACTCGTAGTACCAGGCCAGCCACTACTGCCCCTCCTCTACCCCACAAAACAGCCCCCACCACAGCCCAGCACAGATGGACTGCAGCCTGTCTTGTGTTCCGTAATGCCTCCCGTGGTGGTTACCCCTCCCACCCCCACCCCTGCCAACAGGCCCGCCACCCCTCACCCCTTCCCCCCCACCGCAGGGCCTGCTCCCAACACAGCCACTCCAACCTTCCTGTCCCCACCCCCTCCACGTTCGCCCTCCCCCCTTCTCCCCAGGCCCCCTCCTGCGTGGCGCCGAGCTCAACGGTTTTTCACACTCGAAAGTTTTCGCAAACAATTCTAATAAAAATCAGGCCTTCAGATTTTGTGTTGGTCTTTTTGACAAAAAGAACATCAAAAAAAAATAAAAAAATCAAAGGTGAAAAAATGAATTCTGCAGGGGTACCCTGTATAGCCTTAGGAGTAGTGGTAGGTAGGTTCTGAAAAGAAAGATATGTTCCATGACATGACATGGCAGAACGCCGGTTAAAAGATATGTGAGGTGAGAGAAAAATATATGGCTGTCCCCTGATGAGGAGAAGGCAAAAAAAAAATAAAAAAAATTATGTTGGTAATCGGTCATATTCTTTTGCTCCGGATTGCTACCAGTGCGCCCAAGATTTTCCTTTGATTTTTTCACCAAGACCGGCAGTCCGAGAAGTGCCAAGACAACCCATCGCTCAGGGGACCTTTCGATATCGGACCCATCTTCGTACCCATCTTCATAGCCATCTTATTCCCCATCTTCACCATCTTCACCATCTTCTCCATCTCTTCCATCTTTGCCATCTTCACCATGTTCACGGTCTTCTTCGCCATGTCCTTTGTGACCGTCACCGTCGTCTTCGCCATCATTGGCGCCATCATCTTCGACATCTTTGCCATCTTCTCGGTCTTCTTCGTGGTCTTCTTCGCCATGTCCTTTGTGACAATCACCGTCACCTTTGCCATCTCCTTACCCCTTGTCGGCGCCATCATCAGTGCCATCATCTTCACCGTCCTCGTCGCCACCACCGTCGCTGTCCTCGTCGCCATCACCGTCGCTGTCCTCCCCATCACCCTCGTCCTCTTCGTCATCTTCTTCAGCATCTTTGTCATCTTCCCCGTCCTCGAGCGCATGATCGCGCGAGGGGCATCCGGCCATCTGCTTCCATTTTCCTACTCTCCCCATTTTTTTCTTCGAATCTGACCATTTCAACCTGTCTTGCTCCGTATGTAACTCCTCATTTCCCCCCTCTTTTCTTTTGCTTAGAAAAAGCGTATGTGAAAAAGAAAAAAACGTATTTTAATATTCTTTGCTGATTGCGCGTCGGACGCCTTTCCCTCTCCCACCTGCACTCTTTCATTCCCCTTGTCTTCCCCCTGACCCCAACAATGGCCACTCCCAACTACCCACCTCCCCTCCAGCCCCCGTACCCTTTCCTCCCTTCCCGCCCTAGTGGCTCTCTGTAAACCCTAAGAGGAGAGGGAGAGAAAAAAAAAACGGAAAACCCACTGTTTCGCAGTTCGGACTTTAAATCCTGAACGCAACATGCATCGTTCTGGTTCGAATCCAACTATTGCGTTCATGTGTGTGTGTGTGTGCGTGTGCGTGTGTGTGTGTGTGTGTGTGTGTGTGTGAGAGAGAGAGAGAGAGAGAGAGAGAGAGAGAGAGAGAGAGAGAGAGAGAGAGAGA